GAAGCTCAATGCCAGGCGATTCAACAGAACTGGACGAGCGACTTTTGGCGCTCTCAACAGCCCGGAGCATACCACGACCTTGGTAAGTCCAGCCGAAGTTCACCAGATATTAATGCTAATTAATCCGAAAGTATGGGAGAATGGTGATAGCTATTGTAATATCGACAATAATGCAACCGTCCCTTGTGATCAGGGACTCGTCCCGGTTTACGTTGCCCAAGTCAAGTCTGTTGACCATGTAAAAACTGCAGTCAAGTTTGCCAAAAAGCACAAACTTAGCACGAGAGTCAAGGGTGCCTCACATGACTTGTAAGTAATATTCTAGGTAACCTCGTATGACGCTGATGAGTTGGCATAGTTTGGGTCGTTCTGCTGGTAACGGCACCTTTGGAATTCAAACCATCAACCTTAAAGGGATCGAATTTGATGACCACTTCAAGCCATCTGGAGCTCCGAACAACGTATCCCCACAGGGAGTTGTTCACGTCGCTGCTGGCGAGCATTGGTACTGTAAGTTTGAACAAATATCCTCGTGTGGACAGAGTATTGATGGATATTTAGACGTCAACAAAGCAGCAGATGAACACGGTGTCACTGTCGTTGGTGGTGCCAGCTACTCTGTTGGCGCTGCTGGTGGATGGATCCTCGGTGGCGGACACTCGTCCCTCAGTCCTCAGTATGGCCTCGGAGTGGATAGTAAGTTACTACTGGCTTAATGGTACATTGATCTAACAACACCATAGATGTGGTGCAATTTGAGATTGTCACTCCCGATGGCGAGTTGCGCATAGTAAATGCCTACAAGAATAAGGACCTTTTCTGGGCGTTGAGAGGTGGTGGCCCAGGTTTCGGAGTATGTGTCTTCCCATTCCAAAAGAGATACTCTTAAGTTGACTCATACTTATAGGTCCTCACCAAAGTGACATACAAGACTCACCCCGCTATTACGTCTTTTGTCGCGCTTAACGTCAATATAACGTATCCACCATCCGCCTACCGAGAGCTCTTAAAGTCGTATCTGTTACTTCTGCCAACTTTGTCCGAGCGCAACTATTCCGGCTACTTTTGGCCTACTATGCCCGTCCCAGAACCTACATCGGCAAATTTGACTAGCTTTGCGATCCTCTTATTCGTCTATAATTCGGACGATATCCCTGCGGCCAACTCGACTCTCAAGCCATTCTACGACTTCCTTGAGAGCGAAGCAGATGCTGGCCGCCCGTTACCTGTCGCCACTCAAGCGTACGTCCTCACGAATTATATGCAGCTCTGGCCTGGTCCAGTGGATCAAGTGAGAGAAAATGCAGGTAGCAATTCGATTCAGGGGAGTAGATTGTTGCCGGCTAGCGTATTTGAAGAAGGCAATGTGGACGCCTTTGTGGACTTGGTTGTCCAAACACCATACTTTCCTCACTTTAATTTTGGTAAGTTTCACCTGGGTGTCGTGACAAATCCTTATGGTTCTTTTCTAGTTGCGGGAGGAAAGGTACAACAACCTGCTCCGGACTCGGCTGCTGTCCACCCATCTTGGCGCAAGGCTATCATACATTTCCTGTGGTCTGCTGGATGGGAGACTGATACGCCCTTTGAAATTAGGCAACAGATCAGAAAAGCACTTACGCAAGAGACTCAAAAGCTGGGCGCGCTTGCTCCCGAGGCCGGGGCATATGTCAATGAGTACGTCTCGATTCTTCTTAATAACGCAACAAATACCGATATTCTTTGTAGAGCTGATATTGTTCGTACTACTTTCTATACACGGTGACCGAGACACTAACTACTATCTTTACAGAATGAACCCAACTGGAAGGAGACATTTTGGGGCAGTAACTATCCCCGACTCGCCGCCATCAAGAAGACTTTACTTGCTACCACTGTGTAGGATATGATTCATGAGCTTTGACTACCAGTCGAGTATATTGTCAAGGGCAATAACACACGTTTACCGATACACCAGGTCACTAAATATATGTCTTCACCTATTTTCAAGGAGAAATTGAGCTAAAATTTCTTGGCGAACTCCACAACTTGCTTGGGAAAATGGTCACGGTATCTTGTGAGTCAGTATGAGGTCAGAAAGTGCACCTCTCTTGCATCATTATACCCGATACCCCATATTCAGTTCGGCATGTTTTTTGAAATTTAGGCTTGTTGGGGTTTGAGTGGGCCGATCGAACTTGGCCATGGCCACCTCCTTTCTGAATCGCTTTCCGCAAATGCGCCGTGGGGTTAGCTCGGCAGACCTCTTGGGGCACAGTAATCCAATATTTACAAACGACTCGAGTGCCTGACTTGGGCGAGGGTGAATGCATCGAAGGCTCACCTTAATCATGAATCGTTGTTCGACCTTTCTTGTTCTCGCCTTCAGCATCTGTGCCATATCTTTGGCCAACAATAACGGCAACACTCGAGCGTGCATTTATCCTCAACCGTGTTGGCCGCCTGGTTCCGAATGGAACTCGCTGAACGAAACGCTTCACGGCTCCCTCGTCCGCGTGAGACCTCCTGCCTATGTTGCGCAAGTCAGGTCTGTCGACCATCAAGAATCCGACCGGCATCTTCACTTGCTACGCATTGCGTGGGCGACGAATCCGACTAAGTTTATTGCTTGATCTAGGCGCTACAATGTTGATATTGGTCTCAATAGAGTGCTCTATCATCATAGATTTCGTCATGCAAAGTTAAACTCTCTGTTGGGGTTTGTGGACTGAGCTTCTGGCTTCATTCGGCCACCGTGCCGAAGTGGACCACTTGCACCCCCTCGCTCCTTACACACTCCAATATTTGAAATTTACTGAAATTCGAACGAGTTACTGGTGGACCGAGCCACCCGCATGATCGTATAATACGCTGTGACAAGCGCACGCAAATCTCGGACCTGACGTAGTTCAACACACGTTCGCACTCTCCTTACACAGGGTCTCCCAAGGCCTTTAAGGCCTGGTGGGTCATTTATGATGTTTTTTCCTAACTTTCAGGTCCCCCCGGATTCGTTATGCGTGTAATACCCCTGTCAACGCTGTTTGTGCTAGCCACTGTCGCCTGTACTGGTTGTTGGGGGCACTCGCAAGCCTGTACCTACCCCCAGTCTTTCTGGCCGAATGACTCGGACTGGAACGCATTGAACCAGACACTTCAAGGCTCTCTGGTTCGCGCGAGACCACCGGCATATGTCTGCCATCAACCCAACTTGGAT